AGACCAAGAATTTCGAATTTTCCCCAAAATTACCGGTGAGAGGTGAGTGATGATTCCTTCTTTCACTCTTATTATTTTTTTTTTTTGGGTTTTGGACCTTTTGGTGTTGAACTGTTGAATTGAATCATGAATGTTGAATTGTTGATTATGCCGGTGCCGTGACTGCCGTCTGTGGCTCTATGCGACTGTGCGAGTTGAGTGTGAGACTGTGCAGTCTGTGCCTGTGCCGGCTGTGCGTCTGCAAGAGCGAGACAGTGAGGGTGAGACTGTGATCTGTGAGAGGCGATGGGGTTCACTGGTTCAGCCGTTCAGGGGTTGGAAACTTGGAAATTGGAATTGTGAAGAAATGAAGAATTGTGAATTGTGAAGAATTGTGAATTGCGAATTGTGAATTTGTGAAGAATTTGTGATTTTGTGAATCTGTGATAGTCACAACGAGTGGTCTGAAAATGAACATTTTCAAAATTCACCTTCAGTCATTATGGATTTGTTTATCCATAGACCATAGTTTTGTTTTCTTGCATAGTCAAGATTGGAGCAGTAGTATTGTCATCTAGATATCTGCGTTTAATTTGTGAATTGTGAGTCTGTGAATTTGTGAAGAATGTGAAGTATTGTGATTTGTGATTTTGTGAATTTGTGAAGAATTTGTGAGTCTGTGATTTGTGATATGTGAATTTGTGAAGAATATGTGAATCTATGATTTGTGAACTGTGAATTGAAAAATGAAATTCTTGAATGGAAAAGTGAGAATTTGAAGACGGGAATAAAGAATTTTATAAAGAATTTGAAAACAAAAATGACACTCAAAATTAGAATTACCTTCTCATAAAGAATTTGACAACAATTTAATGGAATTGGATCTTTACGATAAATAATGTATTAGTTAAACATAAAGAATTTCTCCATTATGTTTACGAAATTGTATTTGCGAATTGTGATTTATGATGAGTAATTTATGATTTGATGAGGGAATATGATATTAGGAATGATTATTGATTTGGGAATTTACGTTTAGGATGACATTTTGCAGATTATGGAACGATTTTTTCAACCAAAACGAAAGTCCATACCCAATTCTTCTACTTCTAGTTGTGGGTCTAGTCCCGCCACTGATTCTAGTCGAGCGCAAGAGTTATTGAATAACACAAAGAAGTCTCGGGCTCAATTCAATGTGGATGATCTTGTATCTGATCCAGGGAAACGGTCCCCTATTGAATCATATGATCCTAATATTAGAGATGTTGTTAGGATGGCATACTTGGAGAAGGGTCCTTATCAACCATATGAACATGATTTTCCAAGAAGACCGATGGGGAATGATAATAGATGTTTTCGGAAAGAATGGTTCTCCGAATTTCATTGGTTGGAATACAGTATAGAAAAGGATGCGGCGTATTGTTTGCATTGCTACCTGTTCAAACCTGATAGAGGGAGTCAAGGGGGTGGACATATAATTACTAAGACCGGCTTTAGGGATTGGAAGCACAAAAAGATATTGAAAGATCATGTCGGTCTCTTTGATAGTTCTCATAATCAAGCTTTTGCAAAGTGTACCAACTTGATGAATCAAAAGCAAAGTATCTCTTACGTTATTTCTAGCCAAAGTAGTAGTCAACAACAAAGTTATAGGACCAGGTTGACTGCGGTGCTAGATTGTACTAGACTCCTCTTGATGCAAGGATTGTCATTTCGTGGTCATGATGAATCGGAAGAGTCTCTTAATAGAGGAAATCTGATTGAGTTATTGAACTGGTATGCAGCTCGTTGTAAGGAAATTAAAGAAGTATTATTTAGTAATGCTCCTGGAAATGACCAAATGACTTCACCAACCATCCAAAAGGATTTGATTAATTGTTGTGCTGTAGAGACGACAAGGGCTATTATCAATGAGATTGGTGATTCGTTGTTTTCAATTTTAGTTGATGAGGCTCGCGATAATTCTATGAAAGAACAAATGACAGTTGTTTTAAGGTTTGTTGACAAAAGTGGGCGAGTGAAGGAGCGTTTTTTGGGTATATCCCATGTCACTGATACTTGTGCCCAATCACTGAAGGATGCCATTGATGCAATGTTTTCTACACATGGGTTGAGTATATCTAGTCTGAGAGGTCAAGGCTATGATGGAGCAAGTAATATGTCAGGTGAGTTCAATGGGTTGAAAGCTTTAATTCTTAGAGAGAACCCGCATGCTATGTATGTTCATTGCTTCGCTCATCAGCTTCAGTTAGCAATTGTATCTGTGGCACGTAGGAATTGTATGGTTGGTATTTTTTGGACGTACTTGCTATTATTGTGAATTTGGTTGGTGCATCATGTAAACGTGTAGATGCTCTTCGAACAAGTTATCAA